TTCTGATTTGCTTTAAATCATTGGACATCAATTATTCCACTGGTAATTTAATTTTTATAAATTGAGGCATTTGAAATTCCATGCAAAAAGCTTAGCGTTAATTCATAGTTCATAATTTATAGCTCCATCAGTGTATGGTAAATCGCAAATGTTGCATAATTTTCAAAGTTTCATGTAACTTTATAATAAGAACTAAGCTTAATGATTTAAACATTAGTTGAATCGATGGAATAAATAACTTTGAAAATTTAAAACTATCATATTTAAATAAAAGCTATAATTGAATGATTTTTGAGACATCATTAATAATGATATCGTAGAACTAATATTCAGTATTTCAAAAATTCTATGCCTACTAATTTTTTTTTAATGTTTAAATGTATATCATTGGTAGATCGATTATATGTGAAAATTCTTTGGCGGTTCAAAGGTGAATATTGTTATTTATTCTCTCTTATCAATAATCTCTTGGAGGGGTTTTTGGTTTGAAATTAGAAGTTTTGTTTGAAAAGTTAATGTTTAAGCGATCGTTAGCAGAGCATTTTAGCGATTATTGCGTCATTTCTAAATTTTAGTTTATCTTTAAACTATTTTAAAATTCATCGCCTAATGCAATTCAATCCTCGTCTCATTCTCATTTCCCTCTTAATTTACATTCAAATTAAAATAATTAGTTTAATAATGCATTTGTTTTTTCTCTGCTTGAAGTAATTTAAAACTGTTCCAATAATTTTTTTTTCCTATTAACTAAATGAGAAATTAAATGAGATAGTGAAATAGCTATTTTAGAAACATTGGAAAAAAGTGGAAATGCTCGATTTGAAATTATTTTGTAAAAAAATGCCCAAATGTGTAAGTATTTTTCTGGCTTATTTTACAAAATAAAAGGAAGTTTTATTGTCGAATGCTAAAAAATCTCAGTTGAAAAATGTTACTCTAAAATCTAGCAAAAAAAAAAAGGAGAATTCATAAATTTGATAGAATAGCATGATATCTGCAAAAACAATTTCACTTTTTCAAATTTATTCAAATTTGAATAAATGTTAGAATTTCGAAAATAAAATAAAAGATAGAAAAATATTTCCGCCTTTTTTTCACCGATGACGTCTTATACTCATTTATCCTTCCCGACAAAGAGCTATTTGAGTATTTTTACTAAACCACAACACAATAACAACAAAAATTCATTTCTTTCATTAATGTTAATTATTTAATTCTGTTACTGTGTTTAGATCTAAAAAATTTTTCAATCTTTAAAATTTCATTTTAGCCATACATTTCTTCAGTCCTAGTCAATTCTAGGAATTCAATGTACGTTGGGAAGCATGCATTAGAAGGTCAATTCAACGATCACTGGAAGATCATCGGCGAGTTGTAGGTAAATCTGAATTAACAACTGAGCAACGGAAATTACTTTGGGCATATGGCAAGCCAAGAGATTTGAAAGAGTAAGTAATTTCTATTAATTTAAAACGGGAATTAAATTTAAATATATGATCACAGTTGTAATAAAATGGCATTCATTGTATTGAGAGTAACCATTAAATGACCATCTATCAAAAATGGCAAAAGAAATGGCCTAATAAAATAATCGCAGAAAATGCGTATTGAAAAGAGATTAAGAAAGATAGGCTTGAAATTAGTTATAGATTAATAACTTTAATAGTGGAAATTGAGAAAAAAAGAATACTTTTGTCAATTTATTAAACACTCAAAAAATTCCTTTCAGAAAGATCGAAGAACCAAAAAGTGTTTTTTTTTTTTTTCAAAGCAACCACACTTAGAAAAGAAAATTTTGATCAAACCGATCATTCCATCAGATCAGCGATGGTTATTTAGATAAATCATTTCAGTAATTACTTATATCTGTTAATTTGCAATTTTAATTTTTAATAGCAACTTTTTGTATCATTTAATTATAAATTAATTTTTTTTCACAGAGCATTACAATCAATGTCAATAGTGTACGACATGGTGAGGTTACAAGAACAAGTATTTATGGTGAATAGATTATTTCATTATCACTAATTATCCTTCTCTCAATTATCGATTATTGCTAATTAAGCAAGGATTTAAAATAAAATTTTTCCGGAAATTATTTAGAGTATTCCATAAAAAAAAAAAAACAAATACTCATAATCAAAAATATTTATAAATTTTGATTTAAAAAAAAAGAGACATAATTTAGATAACGCTTGATATTGTCAAGTATTATCGCGCTGATAATGTCCTTTATCTGGAAATACACGTAAATCCATGTGTCAACAATGAGTTATCACCGGAAATATTCCTGAGGAAAATGATTCAAGCTATTTCATTTGCAAAATCAGCACATCGTAATATGACCGTTAAAATATTGTTAATTGCCGAGCTTGAAGAATCGATTGAAAGAGTGCAAGAAGTTATTGATTTGGTCTTGATATTTGGTAAGAAATTGTTGAAATTATTTGTAACTTTCTCCTATTAACAATAATTAATGGTTTTCGAAATCTTGTTGAACTTGATAAGGTCAAATTTTCAGCTCATTTACTAATTTTCACAATTTGTAATTGTGCATTCTTTGGTGTCCGAAATTTCATTCCTAAATTTGAAAAAGAAAAATACGAAAAGATAAAAAAAAAAAATGAAGAAGTATATCAAAAAATATATCATAAAAATTTGCTATTACACTTTTTTCCTGCTAATAATTCATTTCAAATATTATTTGATACAAATAGTACTACTCTAAATTTGATATTGCTTACATGCAAATAAATGATAGATGCAACAAATTGTGGAAAATTTTAAAATAGACTGCGAAGATACGTTGGTATTTTAAATGAATGAATGATTGAAATAATTTCTTTAATTTAAATATTTCAAATCATTGTTTCTTTTATGAAATCTCAAATAGCTAGAATTTATTGGATAGTATGGAATTTATTGATCAATTGTCATAATATTTCCATTTGAATAAATAAATGATTGATTATATATATTGGAGTGATATTAGCAATTAACAATTATCAATTATCACTTTCCCGTTAAAAATATTCATCGGAAATTGAAATATTATGACAATCAATCAATAAATTCACTTTTTCTATTTTTCTCTTTTTTTTTCTTTTCAATGGAAAAAAAATAACTGTTTTAAAAAATTTGCGTTTGCAGGAAGGACTCGTAGAAATCAAAATTTGCCTGATAGTGATATAATACATGGTGTGGAGATAGTTTTTGTTGATTCAAATGAATATGATATGTATCAGTTGAAAAAAATGATTGAATTTATTCGACAGGAATCTGATTTATTGATAATTTTTAATTTAGCTAAGGTTATTTGTGCTATTTTCAAATCCTCTTGCAAAGTATACGATTTTAATCGTTTAAATTTAACAAATTAATTAAACTGCTTTAACTGTGTATCGGATGTAGATTTTTTTTGTTCTTCAGAAAGAAAATAAAATGGATAAAGGAACTAAATTTCCAATAATTTCTGTTTTTTTTAAATCTAAATGTCTTGGATTTAAATTTGAAAAGGAAAAAATGCAAACACTGTAATAACATTATCATTTTTCAATATAACGATTTTTGTTTTGAGCAATAAGTTATATTACGAAATGATTGAGAAGATTTTCGAGAGCACATTTTATTAATTTTCAAACATCTGAAAAATCTCATTGATCAATGTATATGAAAATCGATTCGATCTAATATCTTGAAAAAGGAAAATGTATTTATCAATAAATTTTCCGCAAAAAAAAAATTTATTTTTGTTCATTATAAGAAAATATCTTATTCTATTCAATATTTTAGATGAGCAACAATATGAATCAATTGTATGATATTTTATCGATGCGTCCCGATCGATTATGCAATGCAGAAATTTTAAATCAAAATCAAAATGAAATCGATCAACGTATAATAACTGATCGCTTGTTATCAATGAAATTACCAATAGGTATAATGTATAATTTGGAAAAATTTATTTTCAACATATTTAATAGTTAGCTGGATTATCTTTTATAACTTTAGTAGGTGATGATTTGTAATTTTTTTTTTTCCTAAAACATTTGGGAGAAAAAGCAATTTGAAGAACAGCTAATAAATTTTTAAGGGTGTAATAAATCTATTATTAAAATATTTTGTTATAGAATTTTCATACACCGCTAATCGATTATCTTCTTCTGAAGATAAAAAATCCATTTGGCGAAATTTTTTTTATCATTTATTTTCAATGAAATATCCTATAATTCTTACTGTAAGTTAGTATTACTGTTATTTATTTACAGTTAATTAATATCGAACAATGATTAAATATCATATGATATCATGTAGATAATTTAAAAATGAGCCAAGTTCAATAGGGTCATATAAAGTATATATCCTAATGCAGACAATATTATCTTTAAGTCTTGCAGACAGGATATAGCATGTTATTGGGTTGTACCTTATCAGATGAATATTATCAACTGGCAACAGTTATGGATTTGAAGCCAAGTGATATCTATGAACTATCACTAACCGCGTCATTTTTCACGGAAAAAACTCCACGTATTAAACGCCGTAATTTATTTCCATTCGCTTATCAATATGACCAATTTGCAGAATTATACATGCTGGAAAATTCGACTGAATGGAAGCTTCAAATTCTTCGTGATTGTAAATTATTTCTAAGTCGACCTTTGACTTGTAAGCGAAAACAGCGTCGACGTCGTATCATTGATCTTTTATATGTTTGAAATTAGAAATTGGTAAAAACATTTTTAGCTTTTATCAATTTCTTCCTTCTGCAAACTTTTTTTTTTTTCATTTTTTTTCGTTTTCATTTACGAATTTGTTGAATTAAAAGCTATATTATTGTTATTGTTGACAGAATTATTCTCTAAGGAACTATCATTATAGCAAAAGTTCAAAATTACCAACTGCAAAAATTTCTAATCAAATGTAAAATGTAATTTATTTAAAGATTTCTTCACTTAAAAGTTTGTTTTTGCAATTTTAGCTATAATAAATATCAAAATTTATTAACAATCATACAAAGTATTAATAACACTGTATACCAATAATTTTTATTTTTGTTTAATTAATATTACGAAAAGTAGAGAGAACGAAAAAAAAAGAATAAGGGAAGCTTCGTTTCAATTGCATTCAATTACGTGTGTATATTTCATTTCAAATTTTTATTTACAATTTTTCTTTTGTATATTTGTTATGCACAATGTTATTTCACTTTTTACTTATAAAACAAATTTTTGTTCCAACCCGCTAATTGTTCATTGAAGTTTCACAGAATCGATAATTTTTATCTTAAATCAAAATGATAACGGTTTTCGTTCACTCCAAAATTTTTTATCCAGAATTTTAAAAAGAAAACATGGAAATTTTAAGATTAAATTGAATCGGATGACTGTTTTTGAATTACCGTTAACGATTTTTTTTTTTCAGTAATATTTGCAAGATGAGAAAGAGTTGAAAAAGGATCCGTTGATAAGAAATAACAAATATAATTAATTTAATAGCTTCCTATTGTACCATACTTTTCCACTATGTGTTGCAATTTTGATGTATCACTTTATGTTTAATGCAGAAAAAAATAGGAAGACTTCAAAAGGATTGCACAAAATTGTTGCAAAGATTGTTCCAAAGGAAAAAAAAAACACAAAATAGTTGAATATAAAATATTAATTAATAATGACCTTCTGCTGATCAAAATTATCAGTTAGCAAATTGCATTATTATATCATAAATACTGACTATTTTTCGCAATATAAATATTAATCTAATCATTGTTAATTTGCTTTCAAAAAAAAAAAGCAAATACTGCATTCCTCATTTTTAAACTTCTTATTTTTTTCCAAAAAAAAAAAAAAAAAACTGAAGCTTATCGATAGTTTCAATTTACGCAATGCCTACAACACATCCAAATATATTTAATTCATTCTGAACTTAAATAAAAAACACACATGCAGCACACTTAAATTTATTTCATGTCTTTTTTTTTTAAATTTAAAATTAATATTTGAATGGCAAATAATATATCATTAGCTTTCATTTTAATAAATTAAAAATCAATGCTTCCATTCTTCCATCCTATATAACAAAACGTAGCCATGGTATTTTTATTTTCCACTCGAAATAATATCACCGATCGATGTTTTAAATATGAAAAAAAAAATGTATATCTTCCTAATCGCATGAATAGTATGTAAAAAAAAAAAAAGGAATCATTGATTGCTGCATGATAATTTTTTATTACTAAAAATTTACATTTTATAATTCAATTTATTTTTAAAAAATTCAACTTACATTTCATAATACCATAACATAGTAAAAAAATGAAAATTTTTTGACAGTTAAAAAAATTTTTTCTGGTAACATAATGAATAAGAGAAATCAATTTTATATGTCAGGTTAAGCTAAGCTCCTTTAAGTATTTCGAATTTTCATTCTTATCCGAGATAAAATATTTAACTATCATCGTTAATTACACCAACGATAATTGCTATGCGTTTTTGCATTCGATCATTTTTATTTAAGTATATATATATATATATAGCTTTATTGAAGATAAATAAGAAGCAATAATAAGTACCAGGATGAAAAGTAAGTAAATTCACGCATCACGCAGTTCAATTAATAGGTCAAGAGAGCATTACCTCTAAGTTATCATTACCTCTGAAAATCGCTTATAACGAATAAACTGTGTAATTTTGTTTGCGATTCTGTACTGTACAATAGAATGGTTCTAATTTTGAATATGTTAATGAAATAATTTATGTCATCAATTGTTTTAATGATTTCCGCTTCACTTCACATTAAAATGCGGAGCATCTTTTCTTCATTTCCTAATTCACTTCAATAATTCAGTCAAATCGATTTTATCGGGAACACACTTCATTTCGTCTACCTTTCCTAATTTTCCGGAAAGTCATCAGACGGAAGGATATGCTCCGTACACTTCAACAACACAGCAATATCTCTTCCATTTATTCCACTGTATTCGTATGTCGCAACGTGACATCGAACCGGTTTCAATATGATAATACGTTAGAGGAATCGATCCGGAGCGCGAAATGGTATTCTTTTTGGTATTTCATTTGTTCTTAAATTTCTTATATTGTTGATATCATCGTATATAATGATTTAATGTTTGTTAATAGCATCATCTTATCTAACTTTCATTTTTAAATTCTATTCCTTTGAAACTAATTTTAATTTGCAAAATTTGAATTCTGTTTAGGTTTATGCATATTATATTTCTGTATTTCAATCAATCATGCTTTAATTTCGTGCTGATGGAAGGGTTTAACTGACGAATAGTGTAAATGAATCCGTCAACATTTTCCGGAAATTTTCTGTTCAGCAGTCCAACAAATACCAAAAGCAAGAGCAATACATGTCATTTTATCGATATATTCGATTTTATCTTTGTTGCACATCCTGATTCGGGACGTATTGAAGGTAGAGAAAGTGAACGAGTTTTTTATTTCAACAGTCCCCAAAATGAGTCAGTGGAAAAACAGGTACATTTTTTACTATTATAAATATCGTTGTTTTCGTCTAAGGATTTTTCAAGAAGATTTCATAAGCTTTTTTATTTGGCTCTAACTGATGTTACGAGAACTTCTTTTTCTGGAAGTAGATATTCACTTTTTCAATTCAAAATACATAGTAGTAATGATAATAAACATGATTTTTCAGACGCAGATAACAGGTTTTGCGGAAGCGGTTGTTAATTTCACTGAAAATTTTACGGAAAAAAAGGATGAGTCAGAATTCCAATATCGCTATGTGAATACTTCTAAACAGTTGCATGTCTATATTCAGGTAGAATCTGGAAAATTTATTGTTGGAGCTGGTATAAACAAGTAAGTATTGTTTCCTATAAGATGGGGAAAAAAATTTAAGACTCCCACTATTTAACTAAAAACAGTAATCTTTAAAATCATAGAGAGTAAGTATTGAAATAGATGACAAATTTTAGTGTAAGAGTCTTGAATTTTTGTTTCCAATTTTCGTTGAAATGTCGCGATATGATTTTTTCAGTTTTCTTTTAAAATAAGAATTGCGATGATTCTCAGCTTACGAATAAAATATTTTTTATATTTTTTTTGTTTAATTTCTCAATTATTCATTCATTTAACGATTGAATGACAATTTTTGATTGTGCTGAGAATACAGTCTAGTTTGGTTGTATTTTTTGATCTTTAAGTAAGTAGTAATTTGATCATTTTTTACAGAATATTTTGATTAAGTCGTCCAAAAAAAATATTCCGAACAAGGAAATTAGGAACTGTGTGATTCTTTGATGTAAATAACTTGATTTTGATATTTACAGTAGACCCTCCAGAATTCATTTGGTGGTATTTTTGTTTTCTCACTGAATTATTTATGAAATCACTCTTCATCTGTGCTGAATGGAGAAAAACTCATCATGATTCATTTAATACAGAAATAGTTTAGGTAGTTATGAGCTCATAGAATTTATAAGTTTATTAGAAAATTGTTACCTCATTATGCCATGTCCCGTAAATAAGGAAAAATAATGTATCCAAAAGCTAAAAGATATCCATGCAAAAAGCGACATTACTATAAAACATACTTGTAATCGCTGTAAAAGAACGCTTCATATTATCTTTATCTTTAAATTATCTTTAGATCGTCATAATTATAAGTGTTTTTTGTTTATTTTTACAAAATCATTATTTTAGAGAACTTAGCATCAACGAGGATTACATCATACGGGGATCAGCTATCAAGGCAGTACTAATAACAGCTTACAAAATGTTTTGTTTATTTTTTGGTCCGTTCTCTCGACTTGTGGTAGGTAATTCTGCGCATTTGAAGGATCGTTTGGAGTATTTCTTCTCACGTTACCTTCCACAACTTCGTCTTCATCGTGTGAGTTGCATTTTAAATCACAACGCTGTTCAAACAATGATTATTATTAGAATTAGCTAATCATTTAAGAGATAATGAAGTGGGAATTTGTATAACTTTTCTTTCTTCTTGCTCTATTCGAAATCATCCTTAATAGTATAAAGAGACAAATGAAAATTAGTAGTCATATTCAAAAGCTTTCTTTTAAAGCTCAGGTAATTTTTTTTTTTTTTTGTACCACTTAAGACATATATATTATTTAACGATGTTAAATTTCATTGAAATAATACAATCCAATCTTTCTACATCTAAATGTGTGCAACTTTGCAGATGCCTCTACTGGATGTGTTTTGTGGTGTTGATTATCTATCTTTAGACAGTATAAATTATTTACGAGTTGAGAATTTTTTGGATGATCTAGTGGAAACTTTCCCTCAAATTTCGAAAAGAGTATTTTTTTATCAAGAACGTCTAATAACCTATAGTGTTTCCAAAACCGATTTACCTATACTTTGTCGATATCTCACGCAGCATCTTCTTAGCAGATCATTGAAAGAAGAATTACAGCCTGAAAAATGTAACAGGTCTGCTCTCACTTCATAACACTTCTTTTTCGGTTAAGCATCTTTTTTTTCTGGTCTCATGATAAAGGAAAATTTACTTCAAACATTAGATTTCCGTTGGAAAGCATGGAGTTATCTTTCTTATTAGACCACTGACAAGGATAATTTAGAGCATGCTAAGCAATCCAGTTTCTTCATTATTTTAAACGGAAAAAAATTTTGAAAATCAAAAATTAAAGAATTGCTCTTTAATCGGATAGATGCATGATCCAGCTTTTGCTTATTAGTTAGAACTTTTCAAGAAGACTTATATGGCAATTTAATCACCGTCACTATTATTCAGGTCTGGAGATGCTAAAGCCAAATCCTATTAGAAATGATTTTCAGAATAATATATTATTCTGTTATTTATTGCAATTCGAAATTCCAGGAAGGGTGCAATCCATCGAGGGAAATTTTTGACGGGTTTAGTGGTGCCAGCCAAAAGCGCTTCAATCAACGACGAATGTGATGCTAAGTTACCGGTTGTTTATTTATGTGATGATAATAACGAACGAAGGCTTGTACCTTATGAAATGGTATTTTTTATGATTCATTGCAATAAGAAAAACAATATGATTTTTGCTGACAATGTGACTTTTTTTTATTCGTCGAGGTATTCTATTTAAAAAATTGTTCCATCCTTATTAAGATACATGAAATATCAAATTGCTAGCATCATAATTGATTACTTTATCTTCTGCACTCCCCTGTATTTATTCTTATGCATTTATTATATTTCATCATATTTTATTATATTTACATTGTTAATTAATGTTATACTAAGAAAAGAAAATCTTATGCTTACTTCCTGTATGTTCGCCTTCCGTAGCTTTGGTTTAAAATTTTTAATTCTTAAACTTTTCCAATGAATCCAATTTTTTTTTTGCAATTTAGATCGTTTATCGTGCTTTAAACGCTACAGTTTGCATGTTCAGTCAGAAAAGTATTGATGCTCAATTTCTACAACGGTTAGATGAATATCTTGGACTGGAATTAACTGCCCTAGCGTCTCTTGTGGCTGAATCATACGGTAATATGAATGATATATCAAAGAAAGAAAACGAGTTTCATTTCATATACTTCAATCCGGAAAGTATGAGCCTTAAGACGAGTCTTGCGGAAAATATTGAATCTAGCCGTAATTCAAATCTACCCTCTATACCGTCTTCAGTGTACAAGTAAGTTGAACGGCATTTGGAAAAGTGATGAAAATTTGATTACATCTTTTTTTCTTTCTCAAAATAACAAATGAAGACTACTTTATATTTTCAAGTTTTTAATATTTTAAAATTTATAGAATTATTTTGATATTTTCTGGTATTATTTTGCAGATCGGCTTGTGATATATTTGATGAATTCTTAGAAAACAATGATTTTGGTGAAACATCAGTAAAGTTAGATACCGATTGGTGGATTATTATCAAAAAAGTAAACAAACGATTTTTACTGCTCATATTACGAAGTGCTACACTTACTGCACCGGCTGAAGTGCAGCAATATGTTAATGATATTATCAAGATTAACTTCGACACTGTATTTTTGTTCTAATAATGATCAAATTTTGCCATTCATTTTATATATATTACCTGTTCATATGTTAATTTCTTACTTTTACATTGTTCTTATTCCATTAAAAAATTAAAAATCTAATCTTTTTAATTACGTGATGTGTTTCTCGATTTACTAGGAATATACTTATTTTTTTATGGCTATAAAATACACTTCTTGGGAAATGAAATCCATTGTCTTGGAAAACTTGCCTTCTAGGTTATGGTTTTGATATTTAAGGATTTTGCGACACTACTGCTATCAATCCAACTATTTTCTTCATATAGATTAACCAAATAATTCGAGAATGTAGCTGGAATCACCACTTGGAAGCAAGCATTAGTATATCGGTACTTCAAAACATAAAACATAAAGATACGTTTGGGTTTGATTCAGTTTGATTGGTATGTTTGTTTATTGCTTGTTAAAGATGATAACCGTAACTGTGAGAGATACTGACACAATGAACTTCATCAGTGGACAAGTGTAGAGTAAGCTTTTCCTTTTCCACTTTTAAAAATGTTAAACCGGTTTCGAAGAGAGGAATATCGATATAAATTTTTGATGTGAATGACTGGTACAAAGGCATAAATTTCGTATTTATTCGAACAAAATTATAAAGATAAACACATCGAAATTCAATTCATTCAGAACAAATAACATAAAATGTTCCTATTGAGAAGTTCATAAATAAAAATATTGCTAGAAAAGAGATGTAACAAAAAACAATTTCTCGCAAAACGGGAATATCAGAAAAGCCTTCAGGGATTTGATTTGAAAATTAGATATTTTTAAAGACATTTAATGATTTCTTTATGCTTTTTTTCAAAAAACAATAAACAGTTTTCTAAATTTGAGTCAAGAAAGTTTTGTCAAAATTAAACTACGAAAAAATATAAAAGAATGCTAACTTCAGTAAGATATAAATTAATACCGTCTTTTATTGATTATTTGCACATTTTCTCTCCGTCTTTTTAACAACGAATATATTATATTGAATCGGAAGAGAACAGTTTAGAAAGTTTTAAAAGTCCTAAAATAATCTGTATTAAAAAAGGCAGTAGAAGAAAACATGTTGAGCAAATATTATCACTGCTGTGGAAGCTCAAGCATTCTCATTAGAATATTGTCGATATTTTTGATCACCGCAAGTATGTCCTTTTCCAAAGTGCTGCTTACACCATTTGCTTGTCGAATTTCCTAATAAAAAATTCTTTAGAAAATTAAATCTTAAGTGTGAAAATTTAAGCATGAATTGCCAAAAATGTTGTACAAACAACTGAGAAAGATAGATTTGGGGGAAAGCTGGTTATTTGCAACATAGTAGACACATTCTGAGCAGTGCACTATTAATTAGGTGTAATTAGCGGAAAATAGAGTTAATTACCTTTTAAGACAGAATAAACAATAGGTAGAACATTTGGTGAGAACATATAATGGGAAAAGTAATGTGCATAATATTAATGGTAAAAGACGAATAGAAAGAATTTAATCAAGAAGTAAGATTTTTTTTTATTATTGAAGTTTTTTAATCAATTCAGCAAATGATTTAATGTGACTAACTTGAAGCATAGCATAGGCTATTTTCCGTGAATGTCGACAAGCTTCCGAGATAGAATTTAATGTTGAACGGTGTTCGTTCAATAAACTTCGGGCTTGTTTTAATTCTTGCTGACATTCTGCTAAACGCTGTTGACATTCCATTAATTCATTCGTTACCTATCAATAATTTTTATGCAAAAGAAAAAAAAATACTTTTTTGAAAGAATTTTTCACATGTCTTCTTTCCATGTTATTTTATTCTTTTGTCCTCATTCTTTTAAAAATAATTATAGTAGCAATATACTGAACCAAAAAATGTTTGTTTTTTTCTCTCGAAAATTAATGGAATTTAAAGAACTTAAACTAAACTTTAAATACATATTTTAAACTTGGCAAAATTTTTAAAAATTTAAGCAATAGAAAATTATCACGTAACATTCTTTCTAATTAGTTTTCGTGTAACAACCTGATGAGAATGTGATTCCGATTGTCCTGTTTCCTTGATATAGGGAGATGGGACTGGTTTCACATCATTTGTACAAAGAATAAGCGTACCATCCGTTCGATATTGTTGTATAACATTCAGCATTTTTTTACGTGGACCAAACGCCTAAAATTTCATTGATAAGTTTCACTTACAATAAAGAAAACATTAGATATAAACTAAGCATAATTTAACGTTAATGAGAAAAAATTACGCTGCAAACTGGCTTCATCATAATGTTTAAAGCTAATTTGTATTTTATTTATAATTACAAAATAATGCCAACATACTTTGATACCGATCTCCGTGAGGTCAGCATCATTAAGCTCCAAGAATAAATTTAAATCGATATTTTCATTTTCAAATATTTCGATGTATTTTTCTAATTTAAGCCGTGATAATAATTCCGTCAATGAATTCACTTCCATTGCTTTCTTTTCTGTACTGTTTTTCTTTTT